TCTGCTCAAAACAAGTTGTGCTGTCTCTGGCACTCTGGCAGGTCGCGTGCTGGCGCGGAAGCTCTCCACCATCTGCCCAGGTACGCCGTTGACCAGCCTGCTTTGCAAGGGATGTACGGGCTGCGCCAGTTGCAAGTGTAAATCAGAGTTGCCCTCGAAGAGAGTTCAGGCTCCCTGCTCGCCTTGCTGCACGTTAGCATGCATGTCTCAGGCACACTTTTACATCGGTGAGTTTCAGGTCTCGTCACGCTGCGAGCTTGCTAAGTCGCCAACTGTTGTAGCAGGGCTCAGCCCCGGGCCGGACGACGCAGTCGCCTGCGTCATAGCCATGGAGCCAACTGAGCCTTTTCTCGTCCTCAGCGACAGCACACGGCAGTTTCTGCTTCATAACCGGACCTATGGCACCTACAAGATCTTCTCCGGTTTCGTGCTGAGCTGTCCTGGGGCGGCCCTCAACATCAACCACAGCTCAGCCGGAGTGCCATCCATCTTGGAGCTGTTGCACTGGCATTTTGGCCAATGCATGGGTGCCCGCTCCTTCTCGGCGCCCTACCGTGATGATGACCTGGCAGGACTACTGGCAGATCATATCGGTCAGAACGTCAACGTCCGCTTCATACCGATCGAGGAGTCGCTTCTCCCTCAGCACCAAAGCCAATATGATTTCTTGGCCGAAGCTAGGCGAGAGTATGGCATCAGTCGTTACAACTTGACGGGCCACGAGCTGATGAAGTTGCAGAACCTCGATGAGATCGACTTTCTGTACAGAAGCAAGAACCTGCACTTCCGGGAACAAATTGCACGGATCGCCATTGGGACCCTTGTCCAGCGAGCGATCTCTGAGATGCGGCGTCAACGCCCGCATGATTTTCCCATTTTGCTGGTTGCTAACTGGAATGCACGCAGAGCTGACATGCACAGGGAAATGATGGCGACCCGCGCTCTAGCACTCAGTGCAACCATGCTAGACGTCGCAGACGTGGCCCTCCATTTCTCACATTCGCCGTGGTACACGATGCGGTATCAATTCTGTCCGGACAGAGATGTGGCTGCCCCTCGCCACCTCTTTCAAACATACATTCACGATGACATGGAGGGCCCTCCTGCGATGGCTGCTCAGATGTTCCAGCAGTTCAAACGTACGTTCTGCAATGACGAAGTCCTCCGCCAAACTGTCGAGGACTGGGCGGGCTCTTACGGACTGGAGCTTCTAGCTAAGCTGAAGCGTCCCGCCCACAGAGCAGATGTCTTTCGCTACATCTACCACTACCAGCATGGTGGCCTCTACCTCCTCGACATCAAGCTTGCGTTCATTTTGCCGCGGGCCGAGGTCGAAGCAAGGATGGATAGCGAATGGGGCGCAGCCCAGGTGCAACAGGCTGAAGCCTTAGGATTCAATCCGTCGTCACCAGGCCACCCACCGGACGAGAGGCTGGTTATGGCGATAGGCTTCAAGCAGGACCACATTTTCCAGGGCATCATCTACGGCAGACCGTATCACCCTTTGATACGCGCGGCCATCCAGCACGCTTTCGGCGGCAATGTCTTCATGAAGGTTGCCAGCATCGAGTACATGATCTTTTGCAAGTTCCTATACAACACCCTCCACAGGGACATGCAAAGTCGGCCGAGGGTGGGCTGGAATCTCAGCCCAACGTATGGTCCCATCTACCTGTTCCAGGAGTACAACAAGTACAAGCATAAGGCCCCCGTGCAGAACGACGGACACTACTTCGTCACTGCTGACAACACGGTCGTGGCCTTCACCAGGTGCTGGGGCTGGAGTCAAGGCTTCCCACAAGACCCATCCACAAAGGAACGCACGGGTCAGGCGCTGCTTTCGAGCGTCCCGGTCGTGGTAGCTGAGATGAAGCTGGTCCAGGAGGCTCCTGCCTCGACTTCGGAATCTTCACTTGCGGAAGGGCGCAGCCCCCTGGCCAAGGCTCAGCCTTCACAGCCAAATGCGGAAGGAGGGGGATCATCAGACTTTCTGATGCCCACCTCCAAGGACATTGTGGCACATGTGGAGAGCAGCATTCAGGACAACTCCTTTGCTCGGATCATGGAAGTGGTCAGGGAGTCAAAGTACTATAATCGCGACCTCAACGAGCACGACGTCCTGGAATTGATCCCACGAGGCCTTGCCCTTTCTTCTGACCATCCTGGTTATCTTTGTTGCTCCTTCTGCAAAAGCAAGAACCAGATCACCCAGCACAAGATCTTCCCTACGGGCAGGCCGCACCCCCGCCTCAGCAGCCCGTCTCCGACCCCGTTGCTAGATCCCACCCAAGACCAGCTCAGGCAGCGGCATCCATTGTGTCTGGCGGTTGCGCTCCTCCCACCCCATCCCAGTTTCAAGCCGTCGCCCGCAGCCCCCGCCCTTCCCTCCCCCCTCTGCCTCTGCAGGCTCTGAGGACATCCAAGAAGCATTGCCTGGGTCTCCAAGGTCGGCCGACGAAGAGGAAGAGATACCGGAAACCCCTCCGCCTCCCCCTCCACAGTACGAACCACCTCGCGACAGCGCTCAACAAATGTCCTACCTTCCGCAGATCGCCGACTATGCAGAGATCCCCCTGACCAAGGAAGGCATTCTGCAAGAATTACAGTCGGCCCCGACTCAGAGCTGGATCCGATCTCTGGCGAACTTTCAGGTTCTTGGCTCTCCAGTTGTCTTGGGAGGCCTGGATCACCAGGACCAGCGTCCGCTCTGGTCAAGAAGGGTCCGCGACATTTCGATGGTTCCAGCTCTTTTCAAGGCCATCACAAAGGTCAGAACGGACAAAGGCCTCATGTGGGAACGCATTCTTACCGTTCGGCAAGTTCTCACGAAGGAGGGCAAGGTCACGGTGGCCGTAGGTCAAGGCGCCCACTACGAGGAACTGGAGGGACCGACAAAGATGCATGGTTTGGTTGGGGCTCTGTTCGCGAAAATGTGGAATCATGATGACTTCAAGCGCTACTACACTATTGCAAGTCTTTCAGAGTCCGAAAACTGGAAGATTTATGACATGATCTCCACCACCCTCATGGCCATATCCCAAAGGGTCCCAAGTGTTGTTATGGGCGACACTTGCATTCCAGGTATAGGATGTTTATACAAAACGATTTCCAAGTAGCCTCTCAGACAATGTGTCCCCTCAGCACAATGTGTCCGCTTGGACAAATTCAAATCGCAAGAAACTGATGGTCTGGATGAGCCGAAAACGATCATTTTTTCAGGGTCTTGATGAGCCGAACACGATCATTTTTTCATAGTCTTGATGAGCCGAAAACGATAATTTTTATGGTCTTGATGAGCCGAACACGATCATTTTTTCAAGGTTTGTGCACACACACACACAAACATCGCTGAAAATCAGCAGTCACATCATGAATGACAAAGCCCTTGATTGGAGCTCAAAGCTGGTATCCAGTGCTGCTAATAACAGTGCAGGATTGCATTTGAGCCAAAAAATCTGAGCCAACACTAACCAAAAAAAGTATTAGGGTTTAGGGTTTAGGGCTTAGGGCCGCATGCATGTGTTTATGATGTTTATGTATGTATATGTATGTATGTATGTATGTATGTATGTATGTGGACCTGTTACAGCCTGCCTCCAAACCTTCCCCCACCCACACACACACACACACATACACCCACACATACACACACACACACACTTTGCTTAAACACTACAATATAAACACTTGAAAACCCAGGGTTCTAAGGCCGCATTTGGGTTGGGGTGGATATTCCTTTCGGGTAGATCAATACAGCTGCACCCTTGTCGCATTTTTTTCTGGGACGACGACGACAGCACGAGTGTGACTGCGAATTAAGGCCGCTGGGGCTGATCGAGATCACACAAATTAAGGGTGGTTTCGGGTAACTTTCGGAGAGTATTGTGTGCTGTACGCGTGATCCTGAGCCCCAGCCCATTTAATTAACTCCTGCAACCGAAGCTTCAGCACGAGTAAGCCCCTATATAAGATGCTTAATGGACCCAACAAGCCCTAAGCCTTAAAACGGCCTTACACCCAGAAAAACCCTAAAGACTAAACAACCCTAAACCCTTAAACTAGGGGTTCTCATCATCGGTCTCAGAATGATCACGATCTGCAAAGAGCCTTGGCTAGATTTTTTTTGGGGGTCTGGGCTTTGAACCAGGTTTCGGTTTCGAAGCAAGGTTTAGGGTCCTATCAGTCGGAGATTAGGGTTCCAGGGACCATACAAAAGACTACATTTATAATTAAATCCGAGGATCCAGATGTAATAGCGCTGGAGCGTAGAGCGCTCCAGCGCCCTGGAGTGTGCTCGCGCAGCAATACCTGATCAGGATATTCTTGCAAATTGTATTAAATCTTCTGTCTGGGGTCCACTAATTGTATGAAAAAGCGGAGGGATAGTTTCGACAGAGGCACGAACCAGTCGCCCGTTCATATCTTCAGAAATGAAGGTGTGATAGTAACGATAATTGTATCCTTGTATGTGATCGGAGGCTCGAGGATTTAGGAGTTCAGGGTTCAGGGCAGATTCGGGTATAGGGCTCACCATTTTAAAGTTTTATTCCAACTCAGCTGTGCCACTCTCTCGGCCGGCAAAGTATGCCAGCTCTTGCATGCCCTTGGCTGCTTCAAGCTGGTAAAATCAGACCACCCCAACCCTCCCTGTACTATAAGCTAAGGCTACGTAACCGGATTCATAACCATTGAGGGCCCAGGGTCGTGGAGTTTGGGACGTATGGGAAAAAACCCCAGTCCATCCTTTACACAGCGCCCAGCAAGACATCCATAGGCTGCCAACGCAGCATCTGTACTGTATTGGATCGCCTGGATCTGGGAGTCGTTGAGGAAGCGAGGTGCCCATTCCACATGGTTCATGAGGGATGAGCAGAAATGCCCGGTTGGGCTATTCAGGGCTTAAGTACAACACAAGTTTAGGGTCGTTATCGGAGTAGGTTTATTGGGATTTGGGATGTTACGACTAGGGCGGGCATAGGGTGTAAGCCCAGCCCAGCAACATGAGCTGGGCCAAGAGGATCAGCTCCTCCGTCTGGTAGATCTCATCATGAACCAACAGAGTCGTCACATCTGCCAGCCAGCTCGTGATCACACGGGCCTTATATCTAGATCTGAAGCCAAGCATGCAAGCATCCCCTGGAAACCCGGCCCAAATTAAAGCATATCGAACACAGACACGTAGTGTCAGCCAAGGCACATTGTACCCCTTCGCTGCCAGTACGACCTCGCCATCGGTGCTGCGCAAGAACTTCGGCTGGAACATTGGCTGGGAGTGCCTCCAGAAGCAATATAGCTACTCACTCCAAGGCCCCAGCTCTGGGGTTTAGTGGCTATAGGGGTTTAGTGGTTTTGGGATCGTAGGGGTTACCGGGGTTAAGGGGTTTTGGGGTTTTGGGGGGTTTAGGGGTTTTGGGGTTTAGGGGTTATAAAGGTTTAGGGTTTATAGGGGTCTAGGGCCGACAACTGAAAGCAAGACCTGCCAGCCGAAAACCTTGAAAACCCGTCAACTCTACACCCTATGGTTGATGATACCCCTCCTGCATTACCTATAATAAGGAATATATAGTACGAGTTTTGGGTTTAGGGGTTAGGTTTAGGGTATAGGGGTTTCAATAA